CCCCCAGGGAGGAGCAGCCTTGCTAGGCTACAGAAGAGGACATTGCAGCCAGGACTGAAGAGATTTGATAAGCTAGGGTCAGATAAAGGTCCTCCCCTATTAGTGGACTTAGAAAAGGGCAGGGAGAAGATGAGGGAGGGAGTGTGGGATTGGGGGGGAAGGAGGAAGGGGGCTACGGCTGGGATACAAAGTAAATAACCTGTGATTAATATAAATAAATAAAAACACATGCTTTTGAACCATTTTATACATGTATCATTCTGTTTGCCTCTGTTTTGTTTTGTTTTCATGGTCCTGGGGCAGAAACCCCTCAGTTTAATTTCCCAGAAGTAAAATTTCATCAGGAGGAGCAAATATTTTGATGGCTTTTTTTCCTTGCTGTTCTAGAGACTGGACTCAGGTCAGACACACACACACACGGCACATGCTCTGCTACTGAGCTGTATGCATCCTCTGCCCATATTCTTCAGGCTTTTGATAATAAAAGATTGTATCAATGGAATTTTCATTAATATTAATACCTTAATATTAGTGGCATTAAATTCACAATAGTAAGCTAAAGCATTTTGATTATTGTAAGGCTCTTTGTTACAAATACTATTTTCTAGTTTTTGTTTGCCTTTGAGTGTCATTACAAGTATTTTATATAAGAACAACACAATTTTTACACATTTGCTAAGTACGGTTGTTAAATTGTAGCTTCCAAAAGCCAAGTTGTTAGAGATCTTCTTTGTATATGAACAACTTTGGTATAATGCAGTATACTTATGAAGAAATAATTCATAAGAAATAAAACATTTTATTCAAAATTTGCAAAAAGCCATGGAAACAAATTTTGAGCTTGAGTTTATTGAGTCACACGCTAGCCTTTGCTGTTATTTTTAACACTAAAATTTCACTTCAGTAAATACAACTGTGGCAGGAGTTCATCTTTTTTTCTTGGATGAAGTGAAAAATGACTTTTTCCTTTTTTTGTATTTCATGATACTAATTCTCCCTCCACTCCTTCAGAGCAGAGGAAGTTTACATTTCATTCCCCAGAGGCTTCATCCGGAGCAGCCTCCATTGGGATCACTAATCCAAGCATCAGGAGCCCGTACATTGATGGCTGCTCACCGATCAAAAACTGGTCTCCTCGGAGACACAGGGGTGGTCCTGAGTACATGTCCTCACTGCTTCAGATACCGTTCACGCTTGAGACTCACGGGGAGGACGAGGAAGACACCGTTCCGTGTGCAGAGGCCTCTCCACCAGGCACAGATGCTGCGGCAGGCCTCCTCCAGCAGTTGAACTGTGAGGCCTTGGCACGTGGCGAGCCTTCACTCGTCACTGCCATGTCTGTTTCACAGAGCCAGTCTGGTACTTCTGAGAGAGAACTAGCGCTGACAGAGGGTGGTGAAAGCGAGAGGGAAAACGACACCGTGGATATGGTCGAGCCTATAGACACAGTGGGCGAAAGCACGTGGATCAAGGAGCCAGTGGATAATGGGAACTCACTCATGACTGATTTTGTTAGTGGAATTGAAAACTCTCATATGTGCATGTCGCCTCTTGCAGAAAGCAGTGTTCTGCCCTGTGAAAGCAGTACTATCCAGGTGAGGCTTTTAATATTTTATAGCCTTTGACTGTGGGTGGGTGTTACAAAGGAAGGAAGGTAATAGGCTAAGTGTGAGGTGTTACAGTGTGAGCGTGATAAACAGCTGTCAGATCTGTAACATTTGATACTTAGAAAATTCCAGTACTGTTGAACATGATGGTGTACACCTTTAAGCCTAGCTCTTAGGAGTCAGAGGCAGGCAGACTGTTGTGAGTTCAAGGCCACCATAGTGCAAACCTGCCTTTAAAAAGACTACCCCAAAACAAAATTCCCAAGTGAAACCAGAAGGATTAATTCTTCATATTTCATATTCCTATTAACCACCATCTACTTGCAATAATAAATGATGAGCAGAAGAGAAACCATGCTGCTGTCTCTGCAGGTTGCTGTTGAGACCACCTTTCCAAGATCAGCGGTCTCCTGGGAAGCTGTTGCCAGGAGCATGTAGTTTCTAGCATAGCACTTGTATTCTACAACGTGAAGAGTTTTGTTTTTCCTTAATGTGATTTAGCAGAGAAAGAAAACTTACAGAACAATATACTTGAAAACATAGTAAACATTTTTTCATGTAAGAATACATTTCCAGTATTCCAAGGAAGCTGAGCATTAACTTTTTCCCTCTTCATTTTCACCTTCTCTGTTGGCAGAGGAATTACAAATGTTTTTGTTGAAATATACCTTCATATCCTCTAGAATTAGCTGTTGGGAGCTCAGATCCTTTAACTAGTCACCAAATTGTCACCTACTTTCTGCATGGTACCGCACTTCCTTTCCAGGATCAGACCTCCCTCCTTAGGGTGCGCTAAAATGAGGGTCTCCGGTTTTCCCCTCACACTGTATCATGCTTTCTTTCTGCAGAGATCTTTTAGTTTAGTATGTTTGTAGACATCATCTCCACCAGCGTTCTTTCAAGCGTTCAGACACAGCTGGGCCTCCACGCAGCTTTGACGCAGCTCACTGGCTTCTACCCGGGGCTGCCACCCCACACTGCCCTCCTGCCAATTGCTTTACCCCCACCTTTTTCTGTGCTCTGTGCTGGGCTGTCATTCTCACAGGAACGGTTCCTGGTGGCTTTCTAAGGAGTGTGGTTTGAAAGAAGTGTATGCCTGACGAGGTGATGATTACCCTTTAGAACTGAAAGGCCTTAGGTCATTGACTGTTTTTCAGTTACTGGTGGTAGGAAAGCCAGAACTTTTAATGCTTAACCTTCTGCAAACAATTGCTTCTCCCCCTTTTTGCTTAGTGGGATCCTTTCCTGGTACACAGTGATTCTAAATTTTCAGATGGCTGTGAACTGTGGGTGCTAGGAAATCAAATCTAGGTTCTCTGGAAAAGTGCCAAGTTCTCCTAACTGCTGAGCTATCCTTTATACTGACAAATAGAGAATTCCTTTTTTTTTTTTGGCATTTCATCCTTTACTTAAATGTTGCTGCTGTTGCGCCCCTAACACTAGCAGGGAGTTGACCACAAGAAGGTTTGTGTTGGGCCAGCTGGCACATCACTGGCTCTGATGTTGGTGGCCTTTAAAGAAAGCGAGGTCAGCCACTATCTAAAATAGGACAGGCCCCCTGTGTGCCTTGCTCTCTCCTGTACTGTTGGGTTACTTTTACCTCAATAGTGTTATATACTAGAACTGAGTTATGAGCCCATTATTTGGCAGTGATGAATAGAAGGAAGAGTAATTGGCAGATTCTTTGTAAACAATCTCACACTTTTGATCAAGTACCTATTGGGTGTAGCAGAGCTAGAGATTTCCCTTGGGATTAATGTTAAAATTTATATTACTTTTCACATGTGTTTTACTTTAATGAAGTGTGACTCCCAGTAGCCAACAAATGGCTATACAAACATGAAAACTAGGGGTATTTTTCTTGTGATCCATGGGTAACCGAATGGCTTTACAGGCTATTCTAGATGTTTATGAGAAAAGCAAAGAAGCACAGACTTCCCTCTGCTCCTAACTATAAGGAAAGGAAAAGGACTAGGTCAGTGCATTCTCGGGGTGGGGGTGGGGTGAGCTATTGTGTGGTGCTTAGCATTAGTAAATGGCTCTTGTATTGTGAAAAGCACTTTGGCTTGTGAGCCTCTGACCCTCCTCATCTCATTACTGTATGACACTGAGTTAACCTTTCTGAGCCTTTCTCACAAAGTAACAGATACTTAGAAACAAAATAAAAATGGCATTACAGTGTGATACAGGACTAGGCAATTCATTCAGTAATTTTTTTTTTTTTTTTTTTTTTTTTTTTTTTTTTTGAGTATAGTAGATTCCTTTCAACTGCAGTTTTGCTTTCTGTGGTTTGGACCTGTAGTTCAAAATTGTTTAAATTTTTAAAATAAACAATTTGCTATTTTGATTATGGTAATATCTTGAACTACCCCTCACCAGGACGTCAAACAACTCTTTGGCTAATGTTCTGTACTACTCACCCATTATTCACGGAGCAGCTATCCCTGTTACCAGACCGACCACTAGCTAACACACTACCTCTACTTAAAAGAGCTTTTTAAAAACAATATTGACAGCCTGGGGCTGTAGCTCAGTTGGCAGAGTGCTTGCCTAGCATGCAAGAGGCCCTGAGTTCAAACCCTAGCACCATGAAACAAACAAACAACAACAACAAAAGTGCTGGGCCTGGTAGCACTAGGCCTTTAATCCCAGGGCTGCATAGGAAGACCTGTCTCAAATTGAAATTAAAAAACAACAACATGAAAACAATATTGACTAAAAAGCACTAAAGTCGTAATTCTGTCCATCTGCATATGTCAGAGAGGACCCAGAGAATTCTTCCTTGAGGTAGAACTGGAAAAGTGGAATAGTAAAATATTTTGAGACCATATTCCATAACTTGTATAAATTGGCCATAGTGGCACATACCTGTAATCCTAGCAGTCTGGAACATAAGGCAAAATTATGAATTTGAAGTCAAACTGGGTTAGACAGTATTACAAAACCAAATATACTGTATTTGTTCTATTCTTGTTGTTGAACTTTTACTATACCTAAATCTTATCACAGGTGTTTGTTAGGTAGGGAAAACAGACATAGGGTTTGTATTACCTATAGTTTCAGGCATTGTCTGAAAGGTATTTTTCATGATAAAAGGGGAATATATACCTACTTACAAACGAAATTCTTTTCTCCTTTGGGGCGAGGCAGTATGTTTTAGGATTTAAGAAATTGTCTTATAGTGGTCCACTATGAACAACTGGAAATGAGCATTTTGCAGGCAAACTTTACTTGTATTATTTTTGAATAATCCAAACATTATTTAGAAACTGTTCAAGCAAGCCATTTAGAGATAAGCTAGGGAAACAAGCTGGAAGGGGAAACTGATTGCAGTCTTCACAGTTGCAGAAGAGCAGAAAAGCATTTAGTGACTTGCCTACCGATGCTAAAGGAATTACCTTCTTCCCATGAAATACAGCTTGTAAATTGTCCGTGAGAAGCACCTATGTACACATTAAGGTCATCCACTCTGATAACTACTAATTACAGAGGGTTGTTCAGATGTAGTTTCTGATGAACACTTAGCCTTCATGTTTCTCATATCTCATGTCAATTAAAAGTGAATTTGAGTTTGCAGTTTTACGGTTCAGTGTTTTGTGTTTTTCATTCCTACCAGATGGACAGTGGCTACAACACACAGACTTGTGGAAGTAATATCACCGATACTGTTGGGACAGAAAGCTACTGCAGAGAAAATGCCACACAGTCCTTTGAAGTGGAAATGAAATCTTAATTCTGTAACATAAAGGTATGGAGAATACAGTTTGAAAAGAATATAGACTGTAATATTTACTAAATGACTTTTTTCAACCATTCTATACAGTTGTATGTTTATGCTACCATCTTGTTTCGTTATTGAGTACATGGGGAGTTTTTGTTTTTCAAAGATTTTTATTCACTGTAGATCAGTGCTGTATCTGCATGTACACCTGCATGCCAAACACTCCTGCGTTTCTCTCATGGGAGAGAGTGAGATTAGAGAGGGAGAACTAGCTCTGCAGTAAGCAACACTGAAGTTATATCCGGAAAGGGAAACAGGACAGGCAGAAACTTTTGCTTCTAAACTTGACTTCGCTATCTTTGAAACATTTAAAATAGCTTAAACAAACAAAAAAATAATTACTATTAGAGAGAAAATAGTGCTACTCTATCTCTATCGATTTAAAAGCATTTAAAGATTTTGTCTATGTGGAGTCATGCAATAGTGGTCTCATTATATTGTTAATGTTTACTATGCACTTTTCCCTTTTCATTTTGCCTTGTTATATGTGTTAAGAAAACAAATGTCTTGTAAGTTTAGTAACTTTAACAAAATTATGAAATCCAGCTCATTTCAGTTAACCCTCAAATCCTAAGCTAAGGAAGGAAGTCTTTTGAAACGGAGTATTAAAATATTATCTTCTGGGCTAAGGCTGTAACTCAGTGGAGCACTTGACTAACATGCCCAATATCCTAGAGTTCAGTCCCAGCACTACAAACAACAAAAAAACAACCCTTCCCCCAACTTTTATCTTTACTATCCCTTTCAAACCAGGAAATCTGCATTTAGAGTTTTAAAAAGTTCCTGTCAGAGTTGTGCTTTTGGAACAGTCCTAAACTGAAAAAAGGGTGTTTTCTTTTTCACAGCAAGACCAGAGTGCAGAGGTGTTGGATGAAAACTGCAAGTCCATCTCAGTGCAGCAGCCCATAGAGTGTCGAGACCAAAGATTACCACTCAGTAGCCCCTCATGTTTTATGATGCGAATAACATGATGGTGGCTTGGGTTAATGCTTCCAGTAATAAGCGCAGCTCCCTCCTTAATGTGAAAAGCCGTCCGCAGAGGAAACTAGTAACAAGAACAAAAGCTCTAAGTTGTTAAATTACAAACTGGTGTTTTAAAATCAATAAATATTTTTATATTTGTTTTGAGTACTTTGTTAAACAAAAAACTGACAGAGCTGATGGTTTTCTTCTATCCTACAGGGTCAGTGAACCACTTGTTAAGACTTTGAATGATAGACCTGAATTTAGCAGTTCTTGGAACACAAGAAAAATGTTAAAAGTGGATAAAAAAATGCACTATATATTTTTACATGAAAACTGCATGAAAGATATTGTGTGATATAAAACTTCCCGAAGGTAGATAGAAAATAAACTGAATTCCTTGAAATGTCACTTCTCTGGGCAAATTTCTTGGTATAACTGCTCTAGTTAAAATTCCAAAAAGTGTAAATGCTAGAAAGGTGCTACTGGGAACCGTCTTGTATGCTGTCATCTGTGGGGTGAGTTAGGACGGCACAGTAGTATGTACCACCATTCCCAGGGCAGGTCATCCCTCACACTTCAAGCTTGGCTCAGGAGATGATCACAACATGAGAGAATCAGAATTCTCAGGGCACAGTGGAACTCCTGTTGTACTTAGAACTCTAAAGAAATAACTGGGAAAACAGCCGAGTCAAATACAGTTTAAAAATCTGTATTAGAAAAAAGATATAATGTATTTGAAAGTATCAAAGACTATTTTTGTATTTACTTTTCCCTTAAAAACTGATACTCAATGATTCATTATTAGGTCTAGAAAATACAACATTCACTTATCATTATGTTATTTTCATCTTTGTTATGTACCGTACTCCATCTTTAGTATGGTTATTGCTAGCGCCCCTCCCACACACACACACAAACACACTGCTGTGCCCTCACCTGCTCCACAAACATACAGGAAGTTGACTGGCCAATTTAATATGTTTATCTATATATATTGTAAATTTATTATTCTTGGGTTTTGAGTCTCAGAGGTGCAGCCTCCACGGCTTCCAGTTTTTTAAAGTAGTAACTACAACCTCGACTCAAATAACTTTTGTCATTACTTGGTCTGCACTTTTTCTGTTAAATAGGAATAGCACTCTGGATAACTAGAATGAATGCAGACATAGGAGCTGGGAAATGCCTCTCTGTGGATAAAGTGCTTACTGTAATGCAAGGTTCTGCATCCCTAGAACCTATATGAGGCAAGTAGTTTTTAACATTTAAAATCTTACTCTTGCCTGTATTCATATATGTCCCTGTACTATTGAGTGCTGAAGGCCAGAAGTGGAATTGGATCCCCTGGAACTGGAGTTATAGATGACTAAGAGCCATCACGTTGGTGCTGAGAATCAAACCCAGGTCCTCTGGAAGAGTAGTAGCCAGTACTTGCTCTTAACCTGAATCGTCTTTCTAGCATGTGGCAAACAGTTGTCTTGAGTTTTGCAATAGATCAAATCTGAGGCCTTGTACATAGTAAGCAATAATTAGATCACTAAACTACCTGCCCAACTCAAGAGCAAAAAAACCTTGGAGTGGTTGGCAGGTAAAGCTGAAGAGTAGTATCTGTTATGCACAGAACTGAAGCTTGTTTCCTTGGGTAAATGATTTCTTTCCCCAAGAACATAACAATGCATGTTCACATATTGTCTGGCTGCTTATAAACTATACTTGCAGCAGAGCTGTGCCAGAGTTGTGCAGAGTTCAGCCAACAGGCTGAAATGCTGTGGCCTTATCAACAAGGTTTGCTGCCTCCTACTCTGCTATTAGTCACTGATTCATTTTATTTGGACCAAACACTACTTAAGACTGTCCTCCTTCAGATATATTAAGTTCTACCTTAACGTTTGGATGTTTTTTACAGTAACAGGAAACTGGAAATATCAACAATACTGAATGCCTGTGTGTTTGTAAAACCTGTAGCTACAGCCACATATACCTGGGGATTTGTCAGCTCATTTCTACTATATACAAGTAGTAGAAACTGAATAATCAAAGTTTAATGTTAAAATATTCCTAAATACATCCATGCAATCATTAATCTGAATTTTGTAAGACAAGTAGTCAACCTGGCACACCAAAAGAGACTTCATTTGTTCCTTTTCATGTTTTTACTACAATCCCTCCTCTGCTGTAAAATTGGATATAATTACAATTTACTAGCCATTATCTGTTTTGTAAAGAAGCAGACCTTTCTTTGGGCTGTGATGCCTTCTTTGGGAGAAACACGGGCAATAAAGATTAGCGATGTGTATGTCTGAACTTAACAACAAAAATCACAATCAGGTCAAGGTCCGACAGTTTTTGTCTTCCTGTCATCTTGAAACATTGACTACTGTTTGAGTACCACTAGTAAAATACAGGAGGCTTTTCAGAAAATATCAACAGTGTTGTAAGTAGGCAAATTAAAAAGGCATAAAGATTAAATGCCAAACACTGACAGCTCAAGATTTAGAAAGGCTTGTTCTTTGTTTCTAAAATGTTATTTTCCTCAGAAATTGACAGTTTTTTTCTATATTAAAGTACTTATATAAAATTAATCTGCTCTTCAATGAGCAGATGAATATTCCATTTAAATGATCATCACAGATCCCTGAAGTTGCTATTGTCACCATTTAAGTGATGGGTATTCAAATGAATTTTTCTGCATAATTTTTCTTGTTGCAGATTCAGTCAGCAACTCAATAAAAATGCAAATTTCTTAAAATTATTGAAATGTATTTAAAAGTAGCTATCACACACATGAGCTTATAAGTATGCTTTCAGTTTTGTTGCTGCTTTCTACGGTGACCAGTCTTTCAAGTTTTCCGTTGAATGTAGCTACTTCTCAAGTCTCCTCCTCTTTTCCCCTGGTCCGTTAAGATCCATGTCTGATACATCAGGAGGAATATTTATTCCCGGTATCTACAACAGTGGAAACAGGAAAAAGAAGGTGATTAGAAGAATCAGACAACCTTTACCTCATTTTGCCCTTCACCATTACCGCTTTTAAATCTATACAGATTTCCAAGTAGAGGAGATGCAGTTTCGAAGGTAACACACAGTTACACACACACACATTTTAACCATGGTTCAGAAGTACGCCAGTGGTCTCGGTGAGAAGCTTTCAAAGGGTATGGAGGTGCACACCCGCAAGCTCAGTTCTCAGGGCGAATGGGCCGAAAGATCACTGCAAACTCACGCCTGTCCTGTCTCTACAGACAGCAAGATGACGGAGAAGCTTCAGTTTGGGCAGTGTGACTAATGCAACCGCTCCTCCTCATGGCCAGTTTACCCCAGTGGATTTACGTTGTAGCAGGCAACAAACATCAAAAGTCAAAAGGCTAAAAAACACTTATCTTAGCCTGGCATGATGGCACACACCTTTAATTCTAGTCTTCGGGAGGGAGAGGCAGGTAAATCTGGGTTCCAGGCCAGCCTGGTCTATATAGAAGTTCCAGAACAGCCAGGGTCACACACAGGAGAAACACTGCCTCAACAAAATAAAACAAACAAACAAAAGAAACCCTCCCCAAAACAGCATCTTAGTTGAAGCATCTACACTTTACATGTATATAAAGGAATAAGCAAGAAAACTGAATAGTCTTAGATTTTGGCATTGAGGACCGCTAAAATCTCCGATGCCCAGAATCCAATGATCTAGGACAAACTGGAAAGTTGGGTTACTATGCAAATACTTGGGATACCTAAGATCTTAACATTACTTAACAATAGATCACTCTCACAAAATGTTAATTTTCCACAGCATTTAATTAAATTTGGTCTCACCTGTGGTTCTACAAGAGCCATGCGGATTTTCTGATGTTGAAGATTTGATGAATCCAATGTGATTTTCACTTTAACTTTATCAAACACATGGAACACTGTACCTTCTATTCTCAGTGATGGTACCTTGAAAAAAAAAAAAATCTCATTGATATTTCTTAAACCTGAATCTAAATTCTACTTCTAGGTTACCTTCTACAGTAATTTACAAGTTTAAATTTTAACTACTCCCCAGTCAAGGACATGAAATTAGGAGGGAGATGAGATGGGTTCTAGAGAATGGGAGAGAAGAGAGGGGTGTATTTGTCTATGAAATTTTCAAAGAATAAAAAAAAACCCACAATATAAACACCTAACTATTCAAACAAGCAAAACAAAAAACCCACATTAACTTACAGTCTCAAATACTGTCTACTAATGTGCAGGCTTCATCTTGTCACTAACCCAGTCCCAATAAACATGTGTTCATCTTAGTGAATGAACTGTCTGCAGTAAAGGAATACAGTGTAGCATTTAAATATTCTCTTAAGAAACTTACTTCCAGTAAGTTAGTGACATAGAGGGTGTGTCAGAGAAAAGATACTACAAGAGTAAACTGGAAAAAAGATGAGCCTTTCTCTGATAGACAGTCATTTATTGCTTTATCTGTTTAACTTTGCATGCTATATAAAAAAGAATGGCATTTGCATGAAGGAAGAGATAATGGGATTACGTTTTTTGTGAGTGCTACTAAAGTTCAGTTGATGAAATGTGAAATTTCTGGCATGTATTTTGAGATTTAAGATGTATATACAGACAAGTTTTAACATTTTTTTAAAGTTTGCCAACTGTCAAAGAAAACCAAAACCTGCCTTTCTTCCCAAGATAACAAGGATCAGCAATACCTTACCTCATCATCAAAAGTAAGCCGTGGCTTCGGCTTATCTTTTTCTTCAAAAAAAACTGTACCTTCTAAGCCATACTTTGGAATTAACACCACAATTGCATTTTTTCGTACAAAGAGAATATAGGCTTCTTCGCTTATTATTCCCTTGCTTTTGAAAAACAACTGTAAAATAACATAATCTTGTTAGAAGTCTTATTTTGAAATTCATGAAGATAAGTTCGAAATTCAATACCAAATGAATGAAATCCCCCTCCTAGTACTACAGACAAAAGACAGATAGATACCTGGGTATGAAAAGCTACTGATGCACGCTGAGCATACTGAGCCATTTTATGCCGGAAATTAAGATTTTTACATATATCTGAAAGCTTGTGTTTGTCTGTTAACTCTGGATAAGTACAATCAGCCCCAATAGCCACAGCCAACAGCCGATGAACAATTATGTCTGCATATCTATACAGAGAAAATGAAATAAAAACGATGGCAAATTAGTTTTGAATAATTTTTAATTAAAAATCAACTATTTTCTATGTACTCTACTTCTGTATAGAAAACACATTACCTTCTGATGGGAGAAGTGAAATGTGTGTATATTGGAGAGGCTAAGCCATAATGATGAAAGTCATTTTCCATCCCAGAACAGAAGTAGACAGCTTGCATCATACAGCGAGTGGCCAATATCCTTAATAGAGTGTTCAGGTATGGGAAATCAGGGCATTCAGCACGGTCCAAAGAGTCAGCCAAAGACTTGGCTGTATCAGTCTTAATTTCCAAATTCTGTCAATAAAAGGGAGAGATGCAATAAATGAAACATTTCAATATTAGTAGTACCCTCCCTTCTTCCTCTTTCCTTTCTCCCCTATCTCTGTTTCTCTTTGAGACAGTCACCCTGCGTAGCCCTGGATGGCCTGGAGCCCACAGAGATTGCCCTGCCTCTGGCACACCCCGCCAGAATTAGAATCTGATGTTTAAAATATAAAAATATCAAATAAACATAGTGCTTTTTACAGATAGTAGGAGGTCATATGTTTTATCCATTAACTAGGGCCACTAAAAATAACTTTACAAGAAATGATTTAGTTTAGTGCAGCATTAAAGCTTGAAAAACCCTGAATGCATTTGAAAGTGCTGAAGTACCAAGACTTTGAAAAAGTTCCAAAGGACATGCCATTTCTTTCTCATAGTGCTTTCTCATTATGCTTGCTAATCTCTGATGGGGTGAAGAAAATGATGTGGAAGTACACACTTTTCAGTATGACTGGCTTCTCTGCCAGCCAGTTTCCTTCAACTGAAAGCAGAAGAAAAGCCAGTACCAATTTGGCAAGTACCAACAATATTCTGGTACATCAAACTAGCTGCAGTATCCTAACAATACAAACCAGATCCTTCTTCCTTTACCCTCATCTTGGTAAGAAGTAAGACAGCCAAAGAAAATCCCCCAATATAGTCACCCTTAGGGCTGGTAAGCTGGGGCAGTTTTGATGGATAAAAATGGGCTAAGTGCACTATAAAATCAGAAACTCATATCATACTATTCAAGTAATGTCCAGAGAGGCAATGCTATTCCTTACATGCTGGCAACAGAAAAAGGGGCCTATACAAGATCCAAGGAAAACCAAAGTAAGCTACTGTCATGTCAAACCTAAATAGGACAAAAATAAAGAGAGAAGTAGGAGGGATGTTTAGTAGCCAGACAAAGGAGTTTACAGGGCTGAAAAAATGTCCTCCTCTCCATGTATGTCATAAATAGCCTTCACTTGTATGGGCATGATGCAGATAGTGGAACTGATTTGAACTAAGGAGAAAACAAATTACTTGTAAATCTTTAAAACCTGTGCAATTCATAGGAGTCACACGTGCCTTACAGTTTCTATAACTGTGATAAAATACCCGACCAAAACCAACTTGGGAGGAAAGGTTTATTTCGGCTTAACAGTTCTGTATCACAGTCTATCATCCAAGGAGGTCAGGTCAGGGGCTCAAGACAGGAACTTGGGAGCAGGGACTTAGGCAGAAGTCATGGGAGAGCACTGCTTACTGGCTACTAACCATGGCTTGCTCAACCTCTTTTCTTTTGATTGTCTAGGAGTAGCATCATTTACAATGGGCTGACACAAATACTAATCAAGAAAATGTGCAATGGCTTGGCAACAGGCCAATCTTATGGAGGCATTTTCACAACTGATGTTCCTTCCTCTCAGGTTACTTGCTTATGTCAAGTTGATAAAAAAAAAAAAAAAAAAAAAAAAACACCCAGACACCATGTATAAAAAAAGAGATGGAAGAGCATACTATGTCTAGGATACTTAAATAACTTAAAGTGTTTGGCTTTTGGACTGAGTACTCCTTATTAGACATAAAGGATTTAAAGATGTAGGTATTGTCAATGTATATACAGGAAGGGATGTGTCCATATCCCAAACCACATTTTTTTTTTTAACATACAAAAGAACTGGTATATTGTACAGCAAGTGAAATTTATGAAAACATGAGTATTAATTTTTTCAGTGTAATAGACAGATTACAACTCAAATACATGTTACTTTTCAGTTGTTAAAATTTTACCTTGGACTTAGCTGCCTTAACAAGAATTTCATAATTGGAGGGAGGTGGGGCTGGATGTTTTCGAAGCAGAGCATGCTCAGAAAATTCTTCATGAATTTTTTTTGCCACAGAAATATTTGCAAGTAACATAAATTCTTCCACCATGGAATTTGTTTCTCTGTCAGTCAGAAAAGTAGCAAATAAGGAAAGAGAAGCTGAGACAGCTATCATCACATTTAATGACGAGTGAATCTTTCCAGTGATAAATGAAGACATTTCCTATGCAAAAAGCATTCACATTCAGCACATATCTACTTTTATTACTTTATGGTTCTTTTAACTGTCTATTAACTGTGTCTCTCCTAGGTAAATCGAGTATGCTAGAATCTTTTCTAATTGTACTCAAAGAAAAAAAATGGAAGCTTTACTAACTTTATTAACATAAATACAAAACCAATTTTTACCTCCTCTTATAAAAAATAGAACTATGAAAATAAGCCGGGTGCGGTGAGGCACTGCAATCCCAGCACTCACGGAGGCAGAGGCAGGCGGATCTCTGCAAGTCTGAGGCCAGCCTGGTCTACAAAGTGAGTCCATGACAGCCAAGGATAAACAGAGAAACCCTGCCTCAAGATCCTCCGCCCCTGCAACAAAAGGAATTATGAAAATAACCTTTCCTGGGAGAACTAAAAGCTAGGTCACACCTATTATCTTAACTCCTCAATTTATACCAACAAATCACTAATATATTTTCAAAAGTGATTTCGGGTGCTTATTCCTGGTGAGACATTCTCCTGTAAATACATGCTTACACACACGAACACATGCATGCAACAGACACAATTGACTTTTAGGTGACAGATGTACAATGCTTTTCTCTTTGTAAGGTCATTTTCATCAGCAGCGTCAAAACTTGAATTCAGTTTTGACATCTCAATTGTCTTAAAAACTTTCCAATTACTTCTTGTAAGTTCTAAGCTAGTTTATCAAATGATCTGGATGTTGCATCTACTGTTTTCTTTCTCTGGAATCACTGAACACACAGTATTAATTTTCAATCATGTTTCAATTATTACAATAAATTATTTCTTGACAATATTTTTAAATTATATTAACTTTTAATGTACTGGGAACCTCTTGTATAGGAAAATCCAGTGACCAGTCACAACTTCTCAAGTTACATAAACAGTAGAAGAAAATCCAAAGTTAAGAATTCAGCTGCAGAAACTTGACACGCGTTTTGCAATGTGTGTGTACACGTGTATTCGTACTGGGAGCCAACACTGGGTACTATCAAAAAGCAACAACTTAAGCAATCTATCCAGGTGCAACCTCTGTGGCCCCTTCATTCCTCTCTATACTGTACTAAGTACTTCAGACATTAATCAGTGCAATCTTTTTTTTCTAACTATTATGACTTAAGTTATAATGTACATTAAACTAAAAGCAAATTTGAAATCCACTATCCTCTCCCAATTATATACAAGAAAAGCTAAAAAGTAGGATCACATTTACTTTTTCAAATAGTTCATAAGCCAAGAAGTTTCATATACTAATTGTAACAACTGACTTGGGTATAAATGCTCTGGTGATTACTATTTACACTAGACATTACATTTAAATATGTAATATCAATTTGTAGAAAACTGCATACCTCAGCTCCTTGGTCTGCAGGTCGATTGGGTCATGAGTTTCACTGTCCATGTGGAATCGTACTTCTGGAGAAGAAAGAGTCAAAGCCCTGATGTGAGGGGTATGGGGGAGACATTGGTCAGATGAGCCAAGGACAAAGAAAATATTCTACAAGTAATTCCTTTAAAACAAAAAATGAGTGTATAAGTATATAAGAGTTTTTCTTAAGAAGGCTTTATAACCATCTACTAAGTTTCATATTCTATTTTCATTTTATTAAGCTATATAAATTTATAACAACTTTTTTGTAAGCAGCTAAAAATACAAGCAAACCGTCATTATTAAATTTTCTGTGGAAAACAATGTATTGTGATGGGCAAAGATGGAGAGAACAAGACCAGCCCTTACACTGGTTGACGCGTGAACATGCACTGGCACCCAAGTGGAGACTGATAAAATTACTACCACTGATACATCGTAAGGACCGATGGCTCTCATAGGAGACTGCTGCAGGTCCAAGAATATACCATGTTCAGGGTTATATGTGGTTGTGAATGAACTGACTAGTTCTCCTTCACAACGCTTTCACAAGGTCACATAGAAATTTTTGTCAGATATGATGCTACTTTCATCAAGTTCCAAATCAATCTGAAAGTGTGGGTTTTGGTTGTTGGCTTATGGTTTGGTTTTGTTTTCCAGTTTTTTGAGATAGGGACTGACTTTTAGCCTTGGGTAGACTTGGTCTGATTATTTAGACCAGGCTGCCCTAGAATAGAAATTAGAGATCCATTTGCCAAGTGCAGGGATTAAAATGTATACCATCATGCACGGCCTGGAAATATTTCTGTAAGGCTGGATAATCATGGAGAGGTTAAATTTATAGACCTTATACTTAGGTGATGAGCTTGAGCACCAGCTTTACTCTACTCTGATAACTCTGTTTTATGCAAATCCCTATCTGTAAAGAGTTTTAAAGTTCCTATTTAATTATTCAAATATGGTGTCACTGACCACACAAGATGGCTGAGCATTTTCTTGTGGCTGGTAGGAGTATGTAAGGGCACTCGCTTGAAAAATTCAGGGACATACATTAGGCTCTCCGTAGGACTAGTCCAGAGGTGCAGCGTCTGCATCACCAGCAAAACCATTTCCTGTAATACCTGTGGACTCTCAGGCTGTAGCGAGAAGCCAGGGACCAGCCTCGGAAAGGCTCTTGTACCTGGTGTCCACCTACAGCAGTCTTTCATGATTGAAGCTACTTTTAACTGCTTTCCTTCCAACAAGCTGGAGCTGACACTCCTCCTCCTATGACTGTTATAGTGAAGTAAATGCCATGATAAAAGTTATGAAGTATAGTCTACCAGCTAATCAATCACTGTTTTAACAAAATAGAGAAGCCAACTGTTATCTCAATATCATAACTGATCAATTAAGGCATGTCTTAGTACATCTGCTCAGAACATACCCCTTCTCAATCCTTCCTTTCTTAAGAATTTTAGCTAGTTTGTTTAGTCCACGGAGACTAGTTGTAATATCATCCTTCATGGCTGTTGAATCAATCCTCATCTGTGCTTCGGCATATGTAAGAGAAGCCTAAAAAAGAAACTGTGGGTTAATATAGTTCTCCTAACTGATCCAGATGTATTTGCCCTTTGAACCATACTTTGTGTATGTGTATATACTCATGTGTTGGCACTGGCCCACACATCCCACCATGCATACATGGTGGTCAGAGGTACCGGTTCTCCCTTTTCCTTGTTCAAGACAGGGTCTCTGCTGCTGACTGCTTGAAGAGCCAGGATATCTGGTCCATGAGCTTTCCTTGGTTATTCTTGGGTCTCTACCTCCTACGTCTCCATAGGCATTCACTGGGATGTACACACAACGTCCAGCTTTATGTGACTTCTGGAAATCCTAACTTGGGTCTTCAGTCTTGCACAGCAAGCATTTTACACACTCAGTCATCTCCCTACCTCTAAATTTTATCTCACTACATAAGATAGCCACGTTTTCAGAAAGCCTAATATAAGTAACAAGAGAAATCTACAGCAATTCTTAAGTTTACACCTATGATTTCTAGTTTGCTTTTACATCAGACATTTATTATATAATAAGCAAATTTCCATTAAAATAAAGGAAAATGGCAGTTTTCTTAATATTTCAATAGTTCAACTATATTTTTCGGTAACACTAGAATAAAATACAAGACAGATTCTGGCTATTTTCTGAAATCATTTTCAAAGGGTCATTACTCCCTGACTCTGGCAAATAGGGACAGTCTAGAAGTACTTTATAGGATACTAACCAACCAATAAAACACACGTAAAATGGGGCAAAAATGACAATTTTAAAGCAATCTCTAGTAACAAATAGGTGCTTCTGCTTCTCTTTCTGTCCAGATGGAAAACTAGTATTTTTTCATATTAAACGATAAAAGTAACTTTATAATTAAAATTAACAAACTACATGAGGGAGTACCATAAAACAGATTAAGTCATGTTTCTGGGAATACCTTCAGCTGAAAAGGGCTACGAACTCCCTTTCTAGAAAAATGTCCTATATGTTCACTAATTTTTAATTTACATAATTTTTTTGAAACAAACTATGTCAGCTGGGTGGTAGAGGTACATGCAATTAATTCCAGCACTGGGAGGTTGGGGATGGGAGGGGGAAGGCAGGCAAATCTCTGAGTTTGGCTACACACAGAGAAACCAAACCCTGTCTTGAAAAAAAAATGTATCAAGAGAATTACTGCCTCGCTGCACTCTAAAAATATGAATATCTAAAGAATGAAATAATTCCCACATCACTATTTGCTAGTTAATAGTATTTTCTCATCATCAGAAAAGAGTGATACTAACTTGGAAGGAAAAAAACTGACTTACTTTCTGAAAATATGATTACAAGAAAAAGGGAGGGCAAACCTTGAAGGACTGGTTAGCACAAACTGAGGATGACTAACAGAATACGCGGAGTATCACAAAATAAAAAAATCTGGCTCCACTCTGTTCAGGTCAGTTCTACTGGAATCTAAGTAGAATTATGGTATTCATGAGGCACACGCTAACTTCTCAAATGCTAATACTTTTACGTAGGAATAACCTCAATTTACTACATAAAGTAATTTCTGGATTACAGCAATAATTAAGCAAATTTTAAATTCTGAAACAAATTAGAGACTGCTATTTAACAGAGGAAAAATTTAAGTTTATAGAACCTAACTTTTTCAAAAGTAAGAAATTGTTCAAAAATTTAAAATGTCAGAAATGAATCATAATACTAACCTTTGAATTAATGACACTTTTGGTAAATCTTGTTTTTAAGATTTCAGCATTATGATTCATTTCCCAAATACAGGAAAATGCCAACCTTCAGGGAAAAAGAGATGGGTATTTGTTTATGGGAATCAATTAACACAGTCAACAAGACACTCATAAAAAACAATGCGGAAATACCTGTCAACGTTGGATCTCAAGGAACATAAGTTAGAGCTAAGCAACTCTGGAACCATGTCAATCCTCTGAAAGAGACAATAGACCTCAGGTTACTCAGGGACACTCACTCATCTCAATTCCCATCTGCAGAGAGCATCACGTGAGCAGGAGGAGGGGGGTCTACTCTGGTCCTTTTGATTACAGAGTTAAGAACATGACAAAGTCTACAGGAAAAGACACAAAATTGTTAGAGAGGAAAGTAAGAGTGGCATTCATGCCAGATGATAGAGATATCAGTCCCCCTACCACCTGGCCTCTCAAAAGCTGAAATTTCTGACACCTGCTAACTTACAAGCCTGTACACAAACTAAGAGCTTTTCCTATTACTAAACCTAAGCTAGACAATATTTTAAACATACTTAAAAGAGGGAAAAAAATAAACTTTTGGGAAAAAGATGTATGATATACTCTGAACATAAATTTATAAAAGATTAACCTCCCTCTTCCTACCTTATCACCTGGTTTAAATAAGTTTATTAAAACCACACTTTAAGCGATTTTTAATTTTTTGTGTATGAAAGTTTTTGCTTACATATATATGTCTGTACAACATGAGCATGCCTGGTACCTGAGGAGGCCTGCAAAGAACAGCGGGTGCCCTGGCAATGGAGGTACAGACTGTTGTAAACCATCAAGGGGGTAGTGGGAATTGATCCCAGGTCATCTGGAAAAGCAGGCAGTGAATTTGTGAGCCATATCCTCTGTGCCTGCCCAACCTTCCCAACTTAAAGACACATATCAACTACATTTAAATGTTATTTGGATCACTATATGGCAAAACAAAGCAAACTTCAATTTTTGTTTTTTTGCTTGAGTGTGGCATATGTACATATTCACCTATGCAGAGGCATCTCCCTTGATCACATTCCACTGTATTTTTGAGACAGGGTCTTCACTGAACCTGAACTTCACTGATCTGGCTGTGCTGGTCAATGATCTTCCGGGATTCACCTGTCTCCACCGTCCAGCACTAAGGTGCCAGATGTGGCCCAGTTTCTATTTGGCTGAAGGGAGCTCTCGTGCTTGTGTGGCACGTACTTACCGCACTGCACAGGCCATAAAATGCAATACTCTCTGTAACTTAGGACACCTTCACCCATACGTTTCTTTTAGCTAAATATATCATGAATTTACTTCCAACGGTGATTGCTCACAAAACCAAAAGCTCCTGCTTCAGCCTTCAGGAAGATGAGGCAGGAGAATAAAGGCCAGCTTGGTATATATAGCAAGACCACATGCCCGTCAAAACAAAACAAAATGCAAAGTGCTATGATCAGTAAAAGATTTTAAACTTAATACATCTACCTTTTCACAGAGATAAACAGTTGTTCCTCTTCTCGCTGATTCTTGATCCAGTGCATTTCCTGGCCTGATAAAATGGCTAACATCAGCAATATGAACACCGACCTTAAAAAGATTAAAAAGAAAAAAAAAAAGTCAATCTGCATTAATAGCAGACTTAAAATGGAATTTAGATGAGAAGACATATACCTAACCTGAAAATGGACTTAGGCACAGCTTCTATACTCAATCCCTGACATATAACTAAACTTTTTGCAGCTATACTTTTATACTCTGTCCAGAATCAAAAACAGTGAACCCTAGAACGGAACCACATTCAGCTGAGAGTGGTTAGAGACTCCAGATACCTCTAAATTTCCATTACTGAGCTCTCTACAGTGCAGGGCATCATCTATATCAGTACATCCTGGAGGGTCCACACTGCAAACACACAGATGTCTCAGGTCTTCTCGGTTTTTCATGTCCTAGAAAATAGCATGTTAAAAAGAAAAAAAAAATTACAAAACCTGAGTAATAAAATAGCAACGCAGCTCTCTTAGGAAATAAGTATCTCCATAAAAAATGTTAGGTCCTTCATGTTCTGGAGAGACTTGACACATGCTACTGGTTCTACAGCCTGGACGGTAACAGTGAAAAAAAAAAAAATGCAAATGATTTGTGTAACACCTAACTGTTGGAACTGTTGGAACATGGTTCAAGAAAGGAGTTGTGTGAAATCCTGAATGCTTTTCTCTGATGAGAAAACTCCAAGAAAACACGAGTCTTTTGACTTTGTTTCTTCAAAAACACAAAATTGTTCTTGGATTAGACTTTCATTCCCCTCCCAGGTGCAGCAGATAGGAGTGAGTTTACCTTAGATTATTCAGCACAACTGGCTATGGTTATTTGCTTATATGCCTCTTTGGAAAAACATGTTTTTACCACATGTGGCTTGTCCTTTTGATTGTATACTTTACTCATGTATCTATGCTAACCCTCACAATATAAACTGTCTGATGTTCTGAATAAAGCTGGCTATTGATAAGACTTAGTCCACATATGTTTAGGCTCCATTCTCCCTTTCTTCATCCACTACCATTAGAGAGGTAAACACCTAATAATGCTGTAGCTAACTAAATGTGAAGGTGCCATGGTTTCTACATAGTTTGGCAATCAAATTACATCCTACTTTGCTAGCTCAACCCTGTAATCCTCGTTACTCAGGAGGCTGAGACAGGAAAAAGACCAGGCCAGCCTGGGCAATTTAGGGAAACCCAACTGAAAAGCGAAACCAAAATGTAAAGCAGGGCTGAGTATTTACTCAAGTGGTAGTGCTTCGCTAACCTGCAATCATCAGTACACACAACAAAGAAACAAAACTCCCTCGCTAAGATGACATAACCCAAAACGTCACTGTGAGTTATTTTCAACTAACCTTCTCAGTAATGCTCCAGGGCATCTTAGGCAGGAAACTAAGAACAGCCTGGGAAAAAGGCTGATGAGGGACATCATGCTCCAGCAGCAAAACTTCTGTTTCTGTCTCTTTCTCTCCAACATCGCCTAAGTTTCTTACAAAGTGTCCCTGAAATCAAAGGGTATTATCAAAAAGGCACACTTTGTAAATATTCACATTTTTATACTAAATCTTCCACCATTTTATGAACCTCCTCTGCATTTCTACATTTTTCTCTAACAACATCTTAAAAACAACCCTTTGGGGCTGGAGAGATGGTTCAGTGGTAAAGAACACTGCAGAGGAACCAGGTTCAGTCCCCAGCATCCACATGATGGCTTACAACTATCTAACTGTATTTCCAGGGCTGGCCTCCCTGGGTACCTGGCATGTACAGGGTACACAGAGATACCTGCAGGCAAAACGTCCACACACATATGAGCAAGCAAGCACACAAACAAGCAAAAAACCCATTAGTAAATTAAAGGTGAAAATGGTAAGACTTCCAACTGCCTTCAAGGGCCTGGTTCTTAGACCACATGTTTACACTTAATCCCTGTTAACTTCAATATAAAATGTACTTTAAAAGCAACAGTTTCAAAATCCGATTAAAATTTGACCCAAATGCTTCTTCTATGGAGTTTATCAGTAAAAGTTGTTTGACAAGTTAAGAAAAAGTAGCCACATGACTTACACTAGAATTGGATAAAATTCATCTATGCTACCTATTAGGTAAAAATGAAGTATTTCTGTACAAAAAGCGCTATATTTTTATTAAAAATCAACATTAATCACAAATTTTAATTAAATGCACACTGTAAAAATTAAAGTTTAAACATATTAAGTTTACATTTGGGTATCTGGAATTTCTGGGCCAACCATCAATAGCGACAATAATTCTCCGTCCTTCTAATGCAGAAGCCTGTCTGGTTTCTATCCGAATTCGTGGAATTCTCTTATCAGCAGGTGTAAAGAGATGTCTTCTTGACTAGAGAGAGAGAAAAAAAAAATTTGCAGTCCTGGGGTCAATCATAGGTGCTAGCACATGCTACACAAGTACTCTCCCACTAAGTTATACCCCTAATCCAGGAAAAATGACTATATAAATACCAAATCTGGAAAAGGGGGCAAACAGAGAGCTTTGAGTTCTCATCAATGATTATCATTTTTCAATAATGGAAACAAGTGCTTTACCTACCTCCTTAATATCAGACTTGGAAAGCATGCCACAATATGGTCTCCAATTCCTTTTTATTATTCCTACAACTCTACCTGTAGGCCTTAACATTTTTTCACTTACAGCAGTCTTAAGCTGAAATAAAAAAAATAAGAACATACAACATTTCTTCAAAGTAAAATGAAGTAATTCTTCTTCCAAGCTAGAACATGTAGGTGGACATTAATAAAAATATGTACATGACACTAATATACTAAGGTAGCAAATGACATAAAATTTAGAACTTTTATGCCTCAAAGTTCTAGACGTGAGCATACCAACTGAACAATGCTAACTGTTCCATGATAATGAAACACTCTAGAAATGATGTCAAGAAGCACTTACCTAAATAAATGTGTCAAAACTCAGTGTTTCTCAGTTTAATATGAGGATTTGCTGACAGAATCATACTAAGTCTAGAAATTATGAGCCTAAGATTTAGTATCAGTTTAGACTAATTAGATATATATAGTTGCTAAGCAGTAACTATGTAGTTACTATGGTGAACATGTCACACTGGATCTAGTCGCTTTAAAGTAAATACATCTTTAACAGTTCTATCGTACTCTAAATTAAAAGTTAAAGAATGTAAACTACTAAAAATAAAACTTATAATATTGCACATCTAACAATCACAAAGAAATGGATCTGCAAGAATGTTATTGTAGGACTTCAAAAAATTGAATGTAACCAATGAAAAGATCTGCATGTGCACAGTTGTGATATTCTCATAAAATGGTTAAATGGGCCATTTCTAGAAGACTTAACACGTAAGAAACAACTCATTCTCCCGAATAAATATATTAGTAAAAATAGTATAATTAACCATGTCCAAATGCAAAGATTCAGAAACGTATCTTCTAAGAAAAATTTAACACTGCACAAAAAGTTCATAAAATTCTACATTTCTATTTACTTAAACTTCATTAATTCACATCATATACAGAATGTAACAGACATCCGCTTTCGTACTCAATTTTAAATACTTAAAACCACTTTAGCAAAATGTTATTAAAAACACTAGTTTGTATACTTAAAACAGATGTCATCTATGCACATAACTTGTAATAAAATTAAAAGTACAGAACTTGGGAGAGATGGCTCGGTAGTTAAGAGTATTGGCTGCTCACAACTCACTCCAGTTCCAGGGGACCGGGCTCCTTTCAGGCTTCTACAGACAATGCACACTCATGTTACTCAGACACACATGCAAGCAAAACACCCACACATGAAAATGAGTAAAGCTTAAAAAAAAACTAGAACTACATTTCATTCAAAAACATGCAAACAATGGCACATTATTATACAACAATGCAGACAAAAACCAAAACTGGCTCTCTCATATACCATGAGTTCTCTCTCCTCGTCTTTCTCCACATCATCTTCATTTTGACCTTCATCATGTAAAACCACAGAGGATGGTGCCACCCACTGACTCCTGGGCAGAAGCTCTACAGCCACAATGTCTTCATGAATAGCTCTGTTTAGATGTTTAAGTCCTTGTAGAAGTACCTGTGTAAACCAACAAAGGGCCTGTGTTGAACTAGATTTAATGGGAGTAATGAAAAGGCTAGCTAATGGAGGGCTATAGTTTGTCTACCTAGCGCATATAATAACTCTATGCTTTTCCAATTTTAAAATAATCAGAGTCAGGCTTATTGGGTAAAACTGCATGCTAAACAAACTTAGTTGATCTGAATTTGGTGCCCAGACCCATGGTGAAATGAGAGAACTGACTTCTGAAAGTTATCCTTTATTTCCCCATCATACTCTGGCACGTTCACCCCCAACTCATACATCCATATCATATATATATATATATACACACACAACATTAGTCATTTACAAACTGTAATTAGAAAAAAAAAACAGTTTAGAAAATGAGGGTTTTGTTCATGATTCCACTATCATAAACAATGGCAATGTAACAGTTGGGAAAATCAAGCTATTTACATCTCAGTATCTTGACTGGTAAAAATGAAAACCCAACTACTTTCATAGATTGGGTTGAAGACTTTGTGAAATGCTCCAAGTCAAAAACTAGACAAACCTGATAAATAGCAAACACTCTAAACACTGGTTGCTACCAGCTACCATGTGTTTGTGAAGCTCTTTTTTTGCTGAGCGACTGGTATTTATTAAAAGTAGATACATATAACGTAAACATCTCATTTTACAGTATTGGATGTTCCTACTAACTCCTTAAGAGTTAGTAGAAAAAATTTAAATAATCAGTATCATCAAAAGTCATTTACTGTACTAGTGTTTATCACTTTCTTACCAACTAGAAAAAGAGGGTAAGCCAAAGAAATGGCGCTGTGATAAGCTCTGGCTTGCAAGCATGAAAATCTGCACTTAAGCCCACAGTCCACACAAAACGCTGGCACAGTGGTCCATGCTTGCCATTCTGCCCTAAGCAGGTGGAAACAGAAGGATCTCTGGAGCTGCCTGGCCAGCCTGGCCAGATGACTGGTGAGCTCTGGGTCAACAGAAAGACCTCAGGCTGTCACCTGATGCTGGCCTCTACCTCTACACTGACCTGAACATACATACATGTGAACTAAAAACATGAATGCCAAGAGGTGGTAGCACACACCTTTATCCCAGCACTAGGGAGACAGAGGCAGATCAATCTCTGAGTTTGAAGCCAGCCTGATCTACAAAGGGACACTCAGGACTACAGAGAAACCCTGTCTTGGAAAAATAAAAAATAAAATAAAATGTGAAGCAAATTTAAATTCTCACATAAAAATTTTAAAGCATGCAAAGTATTTTAGCGAAGAAAGAATTTACAGAGGGGTCAGCAAAATGGCTCAGCAGGAAATCTTAGGCTTGCCCCAAGTTCAGTACCTGGGACCCACTCTTCGGAAGGAGAACCAGCTCCAGCACAAGCTGTTCTCTGACTTCCACACACACATATACACACAGGCATGGACATGCACATAAACAAAAATTTAAAAAAATCTCCAAGTCACTTACATACTTACCTCTTTTTCATCTTCGTTGTCTCCATGAATCCACACTGTGGCTTCTAAGTAATTTTCCCTGCTAGCTCTGAATGTTCCTTGAAGGTATGAACCAGATTTTATGCCTTGTTGGAGCTTGCTTAAGGGAAGGTGCTCTGAAAATATTATTTTTCCACTTTCTATTTCATTCTATGAAATAAGCAAATCGAATCTGTTTATTTAATGTATTGTTTCCCCAAGTATCATTCAAGTTAAAAATCCACATTATAAAATACACAACTGAATTTAAACAAATAGAGCAGTACATTTTCCACAACACTGCTATCTAAAACAACTTGCTATAATGAGAGTGATACCCTTTTAATGATGTTCAACATGGCAGCTACTAAGCAGAAATTCTCTTAGATGAAATATATATAATAGAGCTGAAAATAGATTTTTAAATCTAAATTACATTTAAGTGGCTACACGCAACTAGTAACTAGTTATTAAGAGTACTCAAAAAAAAAAAAATCTAAAATGCTAGCCTAGCTTGTATATTCTAGTTCTCTTTTGGTTTAATAAAGTAGTTAGTTAAAGAGTATCAGGATGGGAGAAAAATTGTTAGTTAAAAGAAATAGAAAGGATTCATGTATCCTGTCCTGTTAGATATAGCTACTTTTGTAACAACAGCTATCATTGTAATCAGGTAAGACACTCTCTAGTCACTTGAGTCACCTATTCTTGTTTTTTGATGATGGATAAGTGCTTAAAAATATATTTGATGGGAGAGGAGGAGGGAGGGGCTTATGGGGGGATACAAAGTGTAATTATTAAAATTAAATTAAATTTATATATATATATATTTGATGAGGCCGATGCTAGCCACACAGCTTTAATCCCAGTACCTGGGAGGCACAGAGTTTGAGGCCAACCTGGTCTACAGAGCAAGTTCCAGTACAGCCAGGGCTACAAAGAAAACCTTGTCTCAAAACCAAAGCCAACCAACCAACTAAAGAAACAAATAACAACAAGCAAAAAAAAAAAAAAAAAAACCAAACTGTGAAGTTCCACAGCTTCAGAATGGCTACTATAACTGTACAGAAGACCACTGAGGCTTTGGGTCTAATTAATATCAGTACATATTCTTTATTTGTGAGTTCTTATGATAATGTTTTAATAGATTAAAAATAACTCAATAGTCATCATTTACATTTACCATAGCTATGTACCAAGCAACAAGACAAGAATTTTATAAATGCTTCCAATTATATTTCATTCAGCTCTCTAAGAGTGGTACAGTTATTGCTAAATGTGTGTTTGTGTGGGCATAAACTGAAAAATCAGAGTTTAATTTCTCCTCTCGTTTTTCTCTCAGTGGCTATTATGGCAACTCTGTGCTTGCCTCTCAACCTCCAATCTTTACACTAATACAGTAGTGTCTTTTACACTGCCATTAGTCTTGCAAATAAACTACCTTTCTGATCACTGCCCTATGCTCTCCAGCTCACTTTTATGTAACCTTTATTTCTTTTAGCCTGACATTTAACGTAGAAAGCTCAATCCTATTGGCTCTCTTCACACCTTACACAAGTTGTTATTAAACACCTGAAAAATTATTTAGCATCAGCATAAATCTAGCTTCGCTCTACAGGGCCCTCCTGTGTCTCCCCTCGCCTCCTCCTTTAGGCTTTATGTTGTTGCATGGTTGGCCAGTCTTTGTTTATTAAACTACTATATTATTCAAAAATGAACCATGAATTAATTTGGTTTTGTCTTTTTCATTCAACAAACAGGAGTGCTGTGTCAAGGCCTGTTTTAGAAGCCAATTTATTTAGCAGTGACATTTCAATTAGCCAATCATAATTACCTTGTTTATAACCTAGCTCTGCTGTTAGCTTACTGGCATATTGTCATTTATAAATCTGGTAACTATAAGCCTACAATCCCACGATGGCTATTTATATTTTCAGGTTTTCAAAACAGAACATACGGAAACATACCATTTCTTCCGACAAACAAGCAAGACGATCTACAAGTTCAGGGTTAGCAGTCAGGCTCTTTACATATTCTTCACCTGAAAAATAAGTTAATGTTTCTAAATGTACATGTCTAATTTTATCTAGACATGAGCAAACATGGATGATCTTGTTTTGACAATACATTTATTTTGTAATCATGACCAAAAGGAAGCAATGGGTCCAGCACACATGATTTTTTACTGTTTCAACTGCAAATAATGAGACAAAACTAAGAGCCACTATCTACAACTTGCTTTATTAGCTCACTGACTGAGAAACTTAAAATGTAGAAAAGCAGATGGGTTAGCAGTTAACAACACGTGCTGCTCTTGCAGAGAGCCTCGTTTCAGTTTCCAGCACCCACACAGTGGCTCACAACCACTTGTAATTCCAGATCCAGGGTTTTTGACACCTACTTCTGACTTTTGCATACACACAAGTAAAATATTCACACGCATTAAAAATTTGAAAACATTTTTTTCAAATGTAAAAAGATCACATGAAATTGTACAGGACAATAAAATTATGAGTCATGTGAACATTTGGCTTAATCGTAATTTCTATATACAGTTGCAGACATGTATGAATGTGTCAACACTCAGACTTACATGTGAAAGCTGGTATTCCTTCTTCTACCGCTTTTTCTTTGTTTTTCTTGTCATTTGTTATGAGGATAACTTGTAGCTGATTTTCTGCTGATATTTTCTTCAAATGGTCATTGTACCATTTTGCTGCCACTCGAATAGCTCTGTCATTTCTGTCATTGGCACTTTCTCCCTGTTCTTGTTCTATGTAGGTTTCTCTAAATGTTAAAAAAAAAAAAAAACAGGAAAAACAAGAAATAAATGTTAATCAGTAGAAACAAATGTGTAAAAACTGAGACATAAATGCCCGACAACCATTAAAGTGAAACATCAGTGGTCATACATATTAACTTGAATGTATATGCTCACATTCCAGGAAACAATTCTATTAAAACCCTTTTCAGGTTTTCAAGACAACAATTTTCTTGAGAAGAAATTTATGTATTAATGGGAAAATACAGTCTCAACAAGTTTCATTTTATAAAAAGAAAGTGTTAAGACCAGAATTTATACTTTAAACTGGGGTGTTAAATAAGAGTTTATTGGGTAGGAAGGATTAATAGAACTTTGGAGACTAGATACTAAAACTTCACTCAATAAGCCACAGACTAACAGCAATTGCTAAACTCTATTATAGAGTGTGACTGACTAGAAGATTTATGATCACGTGATTTAATGGCCATTCAATAAATAACCCATGAAATCACCCATGGTAAACATTAAATACACAGCAAATGTTACGTCGAACTGACAAAGCTACAATTCCCAAACATAAAAGTACACTTTAAGTCTGTTCCTTAAGGCCATAGTTTTAGCATTACTTTATTCCCTCCCACTAAGTACACCTACTAATCTTCTGAGGGGTGTCCAACCTTTGACCCTGTATCATAATTCTGTGCATCTTCAAATGTGCTGGCCACAGTCATAACTATTCTGGTGCATAGGGGTCCTCTGGTTACAAATCTGATACACCTACGCCCATGTTAGGAACTGATGAACATGTTTCATACACTCTCGGTCTTAGAAGACAAGAGATAACTGTTTCTGGACCTAAAGGTTATGCAATGAATGAATGCACCACCTACAGACACTTTTACTGTGTGTGTGTGTGTGTGTGTGTGTGTGTGTGTGTGTGTGTGTAAGAGCAGAACTTAGTTCCAAGCTGTGAGAAAAGGATACACCTGACAAGATCTAGAAACATTTTGGATTACTAAACTTGGGCCTAATGGGTGAATGATATTTGTACCCATCATCACAGGCCAGAGATGCTGCTCAGCACCTACAATGCATAAAACACCTTCACACAACAAAATTTTACACAGTTCAAAATGACAATAATGTCAAAGTTGACAAATGGACTTTTAAGTATCATAGATACCTGTTGTAAATTATTTATTCACAATAGGCAATCCCATATGTTCTGAGAATACACACTGAGTTTTCAAAGCCATGAACCTGAATTATGAGCTGTTTTTAGAAAGTCAATTTCAACAAATCAGCTGTCAGATATTAAACTTCAAAGTTCATTAATCATAAGCTTGTATTTTAAAAATCTTCACAAACTCGCATAGTTTTATCCCCATATTTGTTATTCACATCACATAACAGCAGCTCAGATGACTCTCATCCCCATGGAAATCTATCATTCAGTTCCATATACACACTTTAAAGACAGTATTTCAGATACAAAAGTGCTATTACAGCCAGCAGACCCTGGTTTAGGATGTGACCTCACTAACACTATGACCTTGGTTAAGCCTTACCTGGCGCTGTCTTCCACACAGCAAGGTAAGCAAATAGCACAGGAAACTACAGACTGTCTTGGATAAAACACTCCCAGGCACTTTGTTTTAAACTGAGGTAACCCTACGGTTTTGTGATACTTACTTATGGTGCTCGTTAGTGAACGTATAGAAGTGCTTCTCCAGGTTATTAGTCACATCCCTGATTCGCTTATATATGGGGGCACTCCGGTTTCTCACTTCCTGCAGGACTGTCTGTAGCACAATCACATTCCTGATGGCAGGGTCCTCGAGAACATCAATCTTTAAAAAAACAAAAGCAAACATTTTTTTTCCCCATGTTCACTTCTAATTTGCCTTCGTCAAGCCTAAATTCCTGTTAGTTTCAAACACTGAGACTCTTCTTCGGGTCAAAGTGTCAACTTCGCTGTAGAAAAACTGAACACAGTCACCGGGCCCTGCAGGCTTGAGACAAGCACCCATAAACGGACCACAAAATTTGTAGTATCAAATCTGCTATTAACAAATCAGTTACGCTGGCCCACACAGTCTTTGTTCGTAGGCACTTACAAGCCGCCTGGGGGTCGCAATCTGGAGGCCACAGAAGCCCAGGTCCCCGGCTTCCAGGCACTAATCTAAAGTAGAAGAGACACCAGGAGTTAGAAAATTAACGTGTCTGAAAATACGACTCCGAGAACTGAAAATAAGTAAAGCAACGCTGAGGGAAAGGTACCTCGGTTTGGATAACACACTGGAGGCGACGGTGGCCACGGTCCTCGCTCTCCATCCCGAGACCCGCCTCCCCGGTGCTCAGTGTCCCTCTGCCACGCCCCCCGGTCACCACGCGGCCAGGCGGCCCACGCACCTGGTGCAGCAGCACGTTGGTGTCGGGCAGCAGATAGTGCGGCCGCGGGCAGAGGCTGCTCTCCGGGTCGCAGGGCCGCGGTTCCAGGGCCGGGCCCGCGTGCGCCCCGCCGCAGGCCGAGCAAGCCGGCGCCCCGCAGCCGATGTCGTCCCGCAGGTAGTGCTCGCGCACGATCTTCACCACGCCGCCCGCGCGGGTCTTTTTCAAGAACGTTTTGGACTTGAGCATCTCGCCTCGCGCCGTAGAATCCCGACCCGGGAGGAATCCCGACCGCTACAGAATTCGGCCGGACAGCGTTTCCGCCAACAAACCCAGGGGCCTCAGCAAGCCTCCCCTCTCATCTCCTCCTCTTTCCGCCAGCTCTTACTACCCTCGTCTCGCGAGAAAACACCAAGCCGGACTGATCGGTGTAAGCTCCCTCACAATTGGGCGACAGCAGGCGGGTTCCGCCCCCAGCTGGGCGGGCCTTTCCTCCGCACTGCAACTCCCAGCATGCACCGCCACAAACTGGCTTCCGGGAAGGGGAGGGCGTGGTCACCTGCGCACCCCGGCTTCTTCCGACTTCTTCAGCGGCAGAGCGGGTGGTTGTCTTGGTGACCGCTCTTAACGGTCCGGTGGCTCCGATATTTTTGTTGAGGGGTTGCAGCCTGAGCTGCTGACCGAAGACGCGTTCGGTTCTCCCACGCGTGCGAGGTGAAGCTGATTTTAGCCTGGTGTGCGGAGTTACTGACTCTTGAGAGGTAGCTTCCAGGAATCTTGTTTCCCTTTCACGCGCGGTGCAAAGATGCTAAAATGCATCGAGTTTAGAATTTATAAGGGGAGGAGCCCGTCCCAGGTCCTTTGTCACCCACGCGAGGATTCGCTTTTGATTTTTCCTTTCTTCCCTTTAAAAAGGAAAAGAGGCCGATTGTACTCTAGCTCTTCCTGTTCCTCCCAACACACTCCCCTCCTTCCTTGGCGTTCCTTTTAGAAAAAGTGAAATATCCAATTCTGTGACTGTTTTACTAAATCGTGTAGTCTTTTAAACAAGGCAATTACTAAAATCCTTGTGAAGGCTAAGATGTGCTATTTAGAATATTCGAATTTTCCCTCTTCTAACCTCTTCAATTTTTCAACTTTTTTGAATTTTTTTTTTTTTTCATCTCACTGAGAGCCTGTTTTCAATTTTTTTCCCTGATGCCTGGCCTGTAAAATCAAGCTGACGTGTAAGCCCATAATGTCGATGTCCACTACCATCCACCGACGTACAAACCTTTTCTGTGTGCCTAGATCCTTCCGGATTTAAATGCTAACTTTGCGCAGTCCTACACTGACAAAATCAGAAGTCATTCTCTCCTTGAGTTTGGATACTTGGCGACATAGGGATTTATCTTCTCTTTTTTACGACTTATTTCCCTCTTTTCTTAAAGATTCTTGCCCCAAGATACATGTATTGGCCAAAGGGGTGCATGCGGTCATGATGGGATTTAGTGAATCTGTGTTTGATGTGAGCACTGATTCGCAGTAATGATCTGGCTTAGATTTGGAACCTTCTGATGCCCAATGATCTAGGCAGTCTTTAGTGTCTCATTAATGCACAATATGCCCTGAAGTAGTTTTTTGCTATGCTTAACTTTATTTCTTTTCACTCTACAGAAGATTGGTTCAGAATTGTAAAATGTCTCGAAAAACTAACAAGGAATCAAAAAAAGTAAACATCTCTAGTTCTCTGGAATCTGAAGATATTAGTTTAGAAACCACCATTCATACAGATGATGTGTCCTCATCAGAAGAGCGAGAGGGTAAAATCAAAATCACCAGGCAGTTAATTGAAAGAAAAGAAATGCTTCATAATATCCAGTTACTGAAAATCGAGCTATCCCAAAAAAATATGATGATTGACAATCTGAAAATGGATTATATTACAAAGGTAAGATCAGATGGAAATTTTGTTACTTTTACATGCTTTATTGTCATTAAACTGGAGGTAAGTAAGAAGTTGGTATAGAGGCCAGGTGTGGTAGTCCACACTTTTAATCTCAGCACTTAGAAGAGAGGCAGGTGGATTCTGTGCATTCTAGGCCAGCCTGGTTTACATAGTGACGTCCAGAGCTATTTAAAGGGACCTTGACAAAAACAAAACAGAAACCAAAAAGACATGTGATTCATTGGAACTTAAACGGTACACTTCTCATTCCTCTTTCGGTACTGCCTTTTTATACTTTGCATATTAAAAATGGGGTGTTTAAATGTGTATATGGACATTATTTTTGAAGGCTCAAGTTTGAAAAGTCCAGCATTAGTGGGATATGTATTTTCTGCTTCACCAAATGTGATGGGATTGACTGGTTGGTAGTAAGACTCAAGGTCATAACTGACTTGTGGAATCTGAATTGTCTTTTCTCTAGAAGTCTGATTTCCTGGTTACCTTCCTACACAGTTACTGTGTGTCTTGAGAGTTACTGTAGCATAGAAGTCAGACTTAAGTGATGTTGTCTTTAGCAAGTGTGTCATCCGTTAGCCAGGATGGCCTAGTTCTTGTATTTCTGCTTGTGCAGTTATTTAGTCCCAGGGTAGTGTGTAGACTATGCAGTAGAGATTAAGCTAGCCTTAAGAAATAGTGACTGACATTAAGACATGTTCTTTAGTGTTGCTACTTCTGGTCCTAAGACACTTATTCTTAATGATGGTGAACTTTCTTTCCATCTTTACTCTTCGTCTTAGCTCTTCCTGCATAAGCATCTCTGTGTAGCAGTGTATTTCTGTTTCGATTATCCTTTTCTTGTTGACATGGTCTTCTATCTTAGTTCTATGCAGTGCATACTAAAATAATTCAGTGTCCTTCTACTTAAAGAATAATACATTTGTTTTGTACCAGTGATGTGGTTTGGTATGGGTAAAAAAACAAAAAACATGCACGCCTGGGGACCTGAGTTCTATCTCTGGAATGTATGAAAACAGAGAACTCATGAGAGTTGCCATGCCACACATATACACACAGCTTGATAGTAAAAAGGAGGGGCCTGGAGAGATGGCTAAGTGGTTAATAGCACTTAATGGTCCTACAGTCAAGTCCCAGAACCCACAGTTTCAGGGACTCCAATGCTGCTTTCTGGCCACTGAGCACACTAGACCCAGACATGGAACACATTCCTATATTCAGGCAAAACATTCAAACACAAAAAAATTAAATAAATCATAAAATAAAATAATGATTTAAATTTTTATTGTTTATTTAACTTTTGTGTGCTAGGGATCAAACCCAGGGCTTTCAGTGTGCTAGAAAAGTGCTCTACCCATGAGGACGCTAGAACAATTTCATTATGATGCCTTTCTAGAAAAAGAAGGTGTCCAAAGCCTCAAGGTTTTAATGAAGTAAAGAAACAGCGTATCACATCAGTGAGTTCCTAGCTGACAGAACCCCTGGAGCAGGTTAGGCTGGAGGCTGTTCTTTACTTTCTGAGAGCCTTACTCTGTTGCCTTACTCATTGTTTCTGCTGAGACAAAAACTACAGGAATTTGTTTTGCACAGTTGTGGAAGGTGAGATATCCAAGATCAGGATGGTGAGTTCTGAGTTCTGGTCTGTGTGGGTTGTATACCTCTTACTGTGTCCTCACCTGCCAGAAGGGTAATAGCTTTCTCGGTCAGTCTTTTTCATAAGGGCAGTTGTTCCTGTCCTGGGCACACTGTTTGTATAACCTAAGCATTTCCCAGAAAGCCTTCCCATACTTCTTTCACATTAGTGAAAGGTTGCCAGATAGTGGAGATGAGAGAATTCAAACAACAGAAACACAATACATAATAGCAATTCTGAAATAGTAATGTAGTTTTTCATCCTTTTTTTGTACCAAGTTATACACCTACAAACATATAAACTTACCTGGTTCTCTCTCTCTCTCTCTCTCTCTCTCTCACACACACACCCCTTTTCTTCATTTTGTGTTGTGAGAACACACATACCGTAGGGCATGTGTGCAGCTTGAGGACTCTTGTAGGAGTTGGTTCTCCTCTCTTATTTTTCAGTTTTGTTTTTAGCATTTCATGTATGACTTCTACATGTGCATCATTCCCCCTTTTCCTCCCTCCAGCTCCTCCTGTGCCCCCCGCCCCCCGTTTCAAATCCAGATATTGTAAAATGTGTAATCGTAACACTTCCATCCAGGAGGTAACCAACAGCCATCTAACTGGGCTTCTGGCCCACTCAACAGAAGGAATTTAATGGCTGGCACCGTAAGCATAGCTAAGTACCCTTGGCTGGTGAGACCACGGACCTAGAGCAGAACCTATGAACTACCATTTCCCTACACCACTATAATTTCTATCTGCATTAAACCCGTCCTCATACCATATAACGGAGCTCTCCTTATCAAACAAGCTTCCTTTTGCTGGAGACCCCAATTAGTAAAAATGCAGAAAAAACTGACTGTGGAAAGTCCAGCCCAACTGATACAGCTATTATAACCCCTATATACCTAAAGCCCAGAGAACTTCCCGGAAGAGGGACATGGAAAGATTCTAAGAGTCAGACAGTTCTTCTCATCTTCCATGTGGGTTTCAGGTGTCTAACTCAGCTGATTAAGATTGGCAGGGAGCACTGTTGCCTTCCAAGCCATCTTACCAGCTCAAATTTGTTACTGTCTTTTAAGAGACTATGGGGACCCTGAGCACAAGGGCATACTTGTATTGTGTTACTGCTGGATCTTTAGAACTTCAAATAGTGTCTCACACATAGTAAGTGCTCAACTGTTTGACTTCATTTTGTCCAGTCAGGTGAATATTCAGAAATAACCACTGTATTAAGCATTATAGATATTGACAAGAATAGTTCCACTGGAATAATACGGGACAAATGTGAAGTGAAGCTTTGCTCTGAAGGACGACAGGGAGATGGTATTATGTCTAGGAGTAATGTGATGAAGGCAGTTGTTCGTTGTTTTCTATAGAGGAGACTGGATATATTTGCTTCATGGTAAAGATGATCCAGGAGGTGGGAGTTTGGTGCAAGAGAAAGTGTTCTTAAGTGTGCTGAATGCTGATAAAATCATCCATTTTTTTTTTTTAAAGGAGAAACAAGAATTGCCTGGATTGAAAGGAGGGGAAAAGGAATAAGTTGATTAACTCAGGACCAAGTATATAGGGTTACAGAAAGCACAGTGTGTTGGGGAGTTGCACAGTTTATCTGGGCTAGAGCCATGTTGTTTTTCAGTTAGTCACAAAGGAAGTTGTCGGCAAAGATCTCGGAGTGTGCTCTGCTACAGCTAGAGATTTTTACAAAGACACCGACATGAAAGAGGTATATTTTTGTATCACATTTTAAAGATAAAATAAAGAAGGATGTAGAAGTTCGTGAAGTATCAGGAAAGAAAA